CCTGACGGCGCTTCCTTGCAGATAAGGCCACGAGCCAGCTCCTGCTGGAGACCGACTGGGAATCCATCCTGCAGATCTGCGACATGATCCGCCAGGGAGACACCCAGTAAGTGCCCTGGCTCTGCCGGGCCTCGCCAGGCCGGGAGGGGTCTGGAGCCTGACGGCTTGTGATGGTGCCCGGCTCCTTATCCCGCTCCCGAGGGGCATCGGGAACCTTGTGTCTGGTACTTCCCTGGCCTCAGGACTTGTGGTTTTCTTCTGGCCTGAAATTCTCAGGGAAAGTCACACTCGAACGTTCTCATTCCCCCTCATCCCAGTTTTCTGCAGGGGGATTGTGCAGGCCGGGAGCTGCCTGTGCCCTGTCTGAGGGTGGGGTTTGGTGGGTTGGCAGCAGCAGGTGGCATCTCCCCTCAGGTCCTTCACTACCTGAAGAGACGTTCTCTCTCTCTTTCCTTACCCAGAGCCAAATATGCCGTCAGCGCCATCAAGAAGAAGGTGAACGACAAGAACCCGCACGTGGCGCTCTACGCTCTGGAGGTACCACAGCCCGGCCTCCCGCGGGGCCTGTGCGGGCACAGCCCCTCCTGCCCGGCCCGGGGGAGTCTGCCCCTCCCGGCCCTAGCACAGAGGGCTTGGGACTGATCAGCAGGCCGTGGTGTTCATAATTCCAAGCTGAAATTGAAAACTGCCAAAGCTGCAATGTGAGGCGCTGCCCACCCCCCAGCCTGGCCCCGGGGTCACTCTGGCTGGGCTGACACTGTCCTGATGTGACTCACTGATTAAGCTGCCCCGTCCTGGCATGCAGCTGGGACCTGGGACCTGTGCTGGGACCATCCAGGCCACGAGGGAGGAAAAAAGCAGCAGCTCATGTTGTGTTTTGTCCTTCCAGGTTATGGAGTCAGTGGTTAAAAACTGTGGGCAAACAGTCCATGATGAGGTGGCCAATAAACAGACTATGGAGGAGCTGAAGGAAATTCTCAAGGTAAACTTATCTTATTTTGCTGTTGGCTTTGAATGGCCTTGTCAGAGGAGCAGCAGCAGGAGCAAATGTGTGTGTCCCCTCATTCCCTTTGCATGAGGAACAGGAGGGACAGTGTTTGGAAACGTGTTTCAGAAAATGCAAAGTGTATTGTGTGAGGTGAAGGGGTGAGTGTGGGGAGCAAAGGAGGAGGAGACAGTGCCATGGGAGCAAAGGTAACACCTGGCTGGACTGGGAGGTGGGAACGGGCTGGGAAGTCCAAGAGCATTTTGTGGTAAATTCTCCTGGGTGCAACGCTTTGCATGGCTGGAGGCAGCAGAGAGGGGAGGTGATGGGCCAAACCTGAATGAGGGTCCCCAAGGGCAGAAGGAGGCATGCAGGAAGGAGAAGCAGCAAAGTAGCAACTGGTGGAAGCTTTCTCTGTATCATGGCCATTTCCTTGGAATTCCACTGTGGGATGGTTTGAGGAGCGTTGCAGGATCTGGACCTGGCCGTTCTCAGGGACACACTGTTGCCACGAGCTGTCGCTTGCTGTTTGATATAACACAATGCCTGGAGGAGCTCTCTGTGTCTTTGGAGACTTCCACAGTGAAGTGGAAATGAGAGCCTCTGTCTCCAGCTCCCAGCCCCAGAATGGCCATGCCCAGACACGGGCTGATTAGAGTTGCTGATCCTTCCTCACATCCTCCATCTCCTACTGGAAACAGATGACAGGATGACCCAGATATTTGGTGGGTGACCCACCCAAGCCCTGTCATCTCTCAGGGCAGCAGGGTGTGCTTCCCCTGGCACCTCCCTGTGAGGGCTGGCTCAGTCCCTGTGCAGGATCTTCTGAGACTGGGACACAGCTGCAGTGTGACAGCCAGGTGTGCTCATGCAGCTGCTCCAAGTGCTGAGCAGATCAGAGCAGGATTCTGTGGTTCTCCAGTCCCTGTCTGCCTTGGCAGTTTCATCACTGCTGCAGCCACATCCTCCTCATCTTCCACTTGGAGCTTTGCTGCTTGTGCATGCCCAGCACTGGTGAAGCAGCCTGGGTTCTGGTGAGGGTCAGGGCTGTGACGTGTGGAATGTGGGATTTTGCCAAATCTTCTAGAAGTTGGAAGCTCCTGGAATCGTCAGTAAGTCACACTCTGTGGGTTGAGCTCTCAGCTGGAATAGGAGCTGGACAGTGCTCTTCCACTTCCCGGGGGATTTCTGGAGCAACCGGTCATGTGAGTGCAGGATGACTTGGTCAGGTGCTGACAGGGCTGCTCCTGGAGGCAGGCTGGGCTAGGAACAGGATTGCCAAGTTTTCTTCAGCTCCTTGGACTGCGATACAGCACCCATGCCTGCCAAGGTCAGGCTCCAGCTGCCTGTCTGCCTCATGCCCCCTGGGGCTTTGGCTGTTCCTGGGCAGGGGTCCTGGGGCTGGGGGTGCTGACAGCCCAGCCCCTGGCCCTGTGCCCCTGGCCTTGCAGGGGGTTTCAGTGCTGCTGTGGTTTCCCAAGTGCGGGAGGAGCAGCTTGTGATGAGGTGAAGGAAGGTGCTGGGCAGCTGGTGCCAGCCCAGGAGTGGCTGCATGAGGCTCTGTGGGTGTTTTCTCAGGGCTTTGTAACCTCTCCTCTTTTGGCCTTGCTCTATGTGGCTCTGAAGGACATTTTCTTGCTGGGGGGGAGGAAGGGAAGCTGGAGTGTGCAGCCTGAATGGTCCTATAGCAGCTTTCTGACAGCTCTTGCCTTGCTCAAGTCCTCTAAAGTCTGTCTGTAAACAGTATTTCAAGGTCGTCTTCTGGGGGATTCGCGCCGTCCTTGGGGCTTCAGGTTCTTTTTCTCAGATTTATTTTTTTTCTCCTCCCTTTCCTTGCAGAGGCAAGTGGAGACAAGTGTCCGCAGCAAGATCCTGTACCTTATCCAGGCCTGGGCTCACGCCTTCCGCAACGAGCCCAAGTACAAAGTGGTGCAGGACACCTACCAGATAATGAAGGTTGAAGGTGAGGACTCTGTGGGCAGAGGCTGACCAAGCAGCTCTGCTCTGGAGGGGCACTGCAGGAGATGGGACTGGTGTGAGGAACTGCCCACTGTGTGGAGGAGCCCTTCCACAGCAGGAACCTGTCTCTTCTCCCACAGGACACGTGTTCCCAGAGTTCAAGGAGAGCGATGCCATGTTTGCTGCGGAAAGGGTGAGCACTGCCAGGGGAGGGAGCTGGTGCTGCAGGACAGGCCTTGCTCTCCTGTCCCCTTCCTGCTAAACCTTCAGCTGCTCCTCTATTTCACAACAATTAGACACTTTGCTGGGTGCACACTGCTTCCAAGGGGCTGTTCTGGGGGGTGTACAGCAGTTTAGCCCAAAACCACCAAAGGAAGCGAAGAGTTTACCAGGACAGGGATTGGGTCTTGTCTTGCCTAGTAGCCTTCCAGCAGCCCAGCAGCAGGGTCTTGATGAAGTAATTGCTGTGCAGACACATTCCTAGAAAACCTCCTGTTGACTGGAAGAGCATCACAGTCCCATGGAACACGAAAGGAGATAACGTGCAGGGATTAATATTTCCTGTTTGGCTGCAAATATTTCCAGTTCCCCCCATTCACAAGGGAGGCTTGGTTAGCCATGGGAGCTTGGTGGGCTCCTTGAGGCCCTTCTCCCCTCCTCACACAATCTCTGTGTCCCTGACAGGCTCCAGACTGGGTGGACGCTGAGGAGTGTCACAGGTGTCGGGTGCAGTTTGGTGTTGTGACACGGAAGGTGGGTGCTCTCCTGCCTCTCTGGGTTCCCTGCTCCTGCACAGCCCCTGGGACTCACAGGACTCCCTGGACTGGCCAGGGGGGGTGTTGGGTCTGAACCATGTTCCTGGCCACAGCAGGGAAGTGCCAGGAGTGTCTTGAGTGATGTTGTCTAATAGTAAAGGAGTATCTTGCTGCCACTCTGATGTCTCCTATCCTCTGCAGCATCATTGCAGGGCCTGCGGGCAGATCTTCTGTGGCAAATGCTCCTCCAAGTACTCCACCATTCCCAAGTTTGGGATTGAGAAGGAAGTGAGAGTCTGTGAGCCTTGTTACGAGCATCTGAACAAGTCAGTACCTTTCATGGGGTATTCCTTTGCCTGCCACAACTGGGTCTGAGGGGAGCAGCTTCAATCATAGTATGTCAGGTTGAAAGGGTCCTCAGGGATCATCTGTCCAGGCTTGGTGTGAAGCCACCTTTCTGCAGAGCAGAGGGAGGGTTTCCCAAGCTCTGCAGGCTGGGCTGGGTTCCAGTCTTCCCTAGGAGCAGGGTTTAGCAGAGCTGTAGCTCCAGTGTGGAGGAGGGAGCATTCAGACCCCACTATCACCTCTTTCTGGCTACAGGAAAGCTGAAGGTAAAGCTGCTGCCACCTCTGAGCTGCCCCCCGAGTACCTGACCAGCCCACTCTCTCAGCAGTCCCAGGTGAGTGGCTGCCTGCAGGTGATCCAGTGATCCCAGCCTGCATGTTCATCCCTTTCCTGACCTCTGCATCCTTATGCTTCCAGCTGCCTCCAAAGCGTGACGAGACAGCCCTGCAAGAGGAGGAGGAGCTCCAGCTGGCTATTGCCCTGTCCCAGTCAGAGGCCGAGGAGAAGGAGAGAATGGTTCGTGCCCTGCTTGGCCTGGGTGTTTTGTACAGCCCAGATGTGCTGGGCATCTCCCAGCTGCGTAGCAACAGATCTCCAGGCATGTCCTGGCAGCAGGGAGTCACAGGGTGTGTGGATGAGAGGGTGAAGGCAGGGCCAGGCACACACTGTGTCCCCTGTCCCAACCCTTGGGGGGGTGCCCAGCAGCCCGTGGGAGCTGCATGGGGCCGGGGCTGCCTGCACACCAGGACCTTGCCGAGCCTCTGCCAACGGGGGAGTCTGGAGGAGCCTGGGCAGTCCCTGAAGTGACAGCTTGTTCTCTTTTGCAGAGGCAGAAAACAACCTACTCCATGTACCCGAAGGCTGAGCCCACACCTGTCACCTCGTCAGCGCCTCCGGTCAGCACGCTCTACTCCCCCCCAGTGGTACGTTCCTGGGAGCCTCTGAACATGAACTGGCTGGATGCAGCCTGGGTCCTGCTTGGGTCAGATTAATCCCTTCTCTGAGAGATAAGGTTGTCCCCAGTCAGCCCTGTGCTCTTTTGCAGCTCTGCTGCTTTCAGCAAGGTCTGTGCCCGGCCGCAGCTGCTGTGGGGCTGAAGGAGACACCGTCCCTGCTGGGTGGCTGTGCTGGCCAGGGCCTGGCAGGACAACTGTGTGGGAGCTGGGGGTCACTGGTTTGTCTGAACTGCATTTCCCTTTCTGTCTCTCTCCAGAATTCCTCTGCTCCCTTGGCTGAGGACATTGACCCAGAGGTAAGGATGTAGGCCTCACCATTCCCTGGCCCAGTCTCCCCACGGCGCTGCAGTGCTCATCATCCCTCTCTCCCTGGCAGCTGGCTCGGTACCTGAACCGCAACTACTGGGAGAAGAAACAAGAGGAAGCTCGCAAGAGCCCCACGCCATCAGCCCCTCTGTCCCTTACGGAGCCAGCAGCTCAGCCCGGGGAGACCCACCCTGCCCCGCTCAGTGTGGTTGAGGTAAGAGGGGGCCTGGACCCGGGTCTGCAGCTCCTGAGGGGACAGGACCCTCCAGCCCAGCTGCACAGCTCTGGCCTTGTTGTGGGCGCAGGGGGCCGAGGCTGAGTGCCCACCCTCCCCCAGCAGCAGTACCAGAACGGCGAGTCAGAGGAGAACCACGAGCAGTTCCTGAAGGCGCTGCAGAACGCCGTCACCACCTTTGTCAACCGCATGAAGAGCAACCACATGCGGGGCCGCAGCATCACCAACGACTCCGCCGTCCTGTCCCTCTTCCAGTCCATTAACAACATGCACCCCCAGCTGCTGGAGCTTCTCAACCAGCTGGACGAGCGCCGGCGTACGTGGGAGCTGTGTGGGCGTCCTCGGGGGGAGCGGGCAGCTGCCAGGGACACAGGGACCCTCCTGAGGGTGTCTCTTCCCTCCCCAGTGTACTACGAAGGTCTGCAGGACAAGCTGGCCCAGATCCGGGACGCGCGGGGGGCTCTGAACGCGCTGCGGGAGGAGCACCGGGAGAAGCTGCGCCGTGCGGCGGAGGAGGCCGAGCGCCAGCGCCAGATCCAGCTGGCCCAGAAGCTGGAGATCATGAGGCAGAAGAAGCAGGTGAGGCAGGACAATGTTTCCAGGGTGTCTGGGGCTGCATCAACCAGCAGTGATGGCTGCCCTGGCCCAAGAGGATGCTGTGGTGCCCCAGCTTCCATCCATCCTGGCCTTGTTCCCACAGGAGTACCTGGAGATGCAGCGTCAGTTGGCCATCCAGCGGCTGCAGGAGCAGGAGAAGGAGAGGCAGATGCGCCTGGAGCAGCAGAAGCAGACCATCCAGATGAGAGCCCAGATGCCAGCCTTCTCACTGCCCTATGCCCAGGTACACTGCTGGGCCAGAGACCCTCCTGCCCAGTCCTAGGAGACGTGGCCTGAGCCTTTCTTTTCTTCACCCCACAGCTCCAGGCTGTGCCTGCAGCCAGTGGGGTGATCTACCAGCCCTCAGGGCCCACCAGCTTCCCGGGCACCTTCAGCCCAGCTGGTTCTGTGGAGGGCTCTCCCATGCACAGTGTCTACATGAACCAGGCAGCCCAGGGGGGCACAGGGCCATATGCTGCCATGCCTGTCACAGGGACAGGTACGTTGGGCCTCCTGTCCCACCTGGGTGGGGGCTGAGCACCATGTGGCGGCTCCAACCTCTGCTCTCTGTACCCAGATCCCAGCATGGTGAACACCTACATGTACCAGGCGGGCGCTGGCAGCGGGCAGGCGGCTCCGCAGGGGCCAGCAGCACCCACCACCACCCCGGCCTACTCCTCCTACCAGCCCACTCCCACGCAGGGCTACCAGGCAAGTGAGGGCAGGGAAGCTTGCAGCTGGCCAGGGCGAGGACTGGGGCAGTGCACCCCATCTTGGGAGGCGATCTGTGAGTGGGACAGAGCTGTGGCTGGATGGTCCCAGATCTCTGGATCTGCTGCTTTTGCTGGGGGGAATGGGCTGGGGGGTCAGAGCCAGCTCTGGGCTTCCCTCGGCACAGGGGAACAGACACCTGGGCTCCAGCAGAGCAAGGTTGTGGCTGGGGCACTAGTTTCAGACAAGCTGTAGCTGCCTGCACCCCTCTCACCTGCCTCTCCTCCCCAGAGCGTGGCCTCGCAGTCGCAGACCATCCCCGCCATGTCTCACGCAGTCAGGCACCATGGGCTACATGGGCAACCAGTCAGTCTCCATGGGCTACCAGCCCTACAGCATGCAGGTGCGCCCTCCCTGCCCCGTGCACTGGGGCAACCAGGTGTGGGTGGTCTCCAGCCCCTGGA